GCCTGAGGAGGCCAGGCTGGTGTGGCTGGAATTCCTGAGAGTATAGTTGTGTGGCAGTCCTGTAGGCATTTGTCATGACAGTGGGCCTTTGCAAGGCCGCACCAAGTGCTGTGGCCAGGAGGGCTCGCCCCCCGCCCCCCCAGGGCTGGGCTGCCTGGTCACGGTGACCCGCACTGGACAGTCGACAGAGCTCCTCCTGTGATGTCTCACCTCCCCAACAACTCTATGGAAGAAGGGCTATTATGAACCTAGTCTACAGATGAGGAAACTGAGGCCCACAACTCATCCAGGGGCACAGAGCCAGCCAGTGAGCTGTGGCTGGGCATCTGGTTCCAAGTCCAGGGCTTTGTCTACACCTTTTTTTTTTTTTTTTTAAGATTTTTATTTTTATTTATTTGACAGAGAGAGACACAGCGAGAGAGGGAACACAAGCAGGGGGAGTGGGAGAGGGAGAAGCAGGCTCCCCGCAGAACAGGGAGCCCGATATGGGGCTCAATCCCAGGACCCTGAGATCACGACCCTGGGATTTCACCAGTTTCCCACTCATGTCCCTTTTCTGTTTCAGGATCCACCTTATGTCTGCACCTTACAGATGGCCTAGAGGGTAGATGTGGCAGTGGGAGAGGGAGAAGAAGACTCCCCACTGAGCAGGGAGCCTGACAAGGGGCTCCATCCCAGGAGGCAAAACTGGGAGGCCTATGCAGGGGACTAGACAGACGCCTAACGACTGAGCCAACCAGGCGCCCCTTGTCTACACCTTCTTAAAAGGAAGGTGCACAGAGCTGGCAGGAGGGAAAGGGGAAACTCAACTGGGAATGGGGAGCCCAGACTTGGCTGGCTTCACAGTTTCACTCCAGCTGGCTCTGCCTTCCTGTCCTGAGAGTAGGTTAAAGGAAGCTCTGAGGAGGAAAGGTCAGTCTGGGAGAGAAGTAGGAACTCGCCAAAACAACCCACACCCTGCTCTCAAAGCGCCAGGCCACCAGGTCCTGTGAGCTGGTTGTGGGGGGGGAACAAAGATGAAGGAGCAGGACCTGGTCCCTGCCCTAGCAGGGCTCTCAGTCTTCAGTGGAGAGGGCCCCCAAACTGCTTGGGAAATGCAGTGGGCAAGGGGCCAGGACACCGATGGAGGCTCTTTCTGCCCCAAATCCCCTCCTCCCATGGCCAGCCACACCTTGACCATCCCAGCCCTGCTCCCTCTCTCTTCTGAGCACCTGTCACACCTCTTGCCCAAGCCATTCATTTAGCACTTGGCTTATAACCCTCAGTTGACGTTTCATTATATGTCTATGTCCACCTCCTCGAGGTCAGACTCTCCTCCAAGGCAGGAGCTAACGTTCCCCCTGCCATGGTGACATGCAGCACATTTTTAGTGAAGAAAAGTTATTTGGGAAGTGATCGATTTGGGCAATGCCACGGTAGGTGTATGCCCAAAGTTGAACAGTAGGTCCCAGCCACGGCCCCGGGGCCTCCGTGATGTCATCTGGCTTGTTGTGACGTCACCGTCGCTGGCCACAGTGGCGCTCCGCAGCCCACAGGCAGGATGACGTCATCGTCGGAGCCCGCGCCTACAAGTGCCTGCTGGAGGAATTAGCGAGGTTGGTGGCTAGAAATGTCCGGGGGGGGGGGGGGGTTCGGATAACTGAGAGAGAAGCAGAGGCCGGTCCGCGGCGCCCACCTCCCAGGCCCGGCTCCTAGCCAGTTCACGGACTGCGCCCGCCCCCGCCATGACCGACGCGAGCCAGCCAATCCGGGCAGGCCGCGGTGACGCGTAGCCTATCAGCGGACAGGGCTCGCCGGCGCTTCCGCGTTCGCGAGCGCGCCTGGCCCGAGTCGGCAGGGGGAGGGGGCGACGGCGGCGGACCGCTGTCTCACCCGTGTCCCACCCTGCCCGGCGCGGTCGGTCTGCGGGGGCCCGTCTGCCGCCTCCCAGGGGACCCGATGGCATCGGAGGGCCTGGCGGGGGCGCTGGCGGCGGTGTTGGGGGGCCAGGGGCTGAGTGTGCACAGCTGCGACTCGGAGCCGGCCGGGGAGCCCCTGGCGCCCGTGCGGCTGCGGAAGAACGTCTGCTACGTGGTGCTGGCCGTGTTCCTCAACGAGCAGGTGAGCGTCCGCCGGCTGGGCCCGGCGCCCGGCCCTCCGCAGCGCGCAGCCAGCCCCGGTGGGGACAGAGGACCTGCCGGCAGCAGCCACCACTTCTTGGTGCGTGGTGCCTCCCAGTTTTGCAAAGCACTCTCACTCACACTTAACATCTGAGCCTTGTGCGGCCCAGCCCTGAGATTGTCCCCCTATACTGAAGAGGAATCTGAGGCCCGGGAGCCTGCTTATTTCCTCCCGCTAGGCCTCAGTGTCTTGAGAAGAGGCCTGTCCTATTCCCCTTTCCCCAGAATCTAGCACAGTGCCTGCCGCTAGTGGGCTCAAAGATCTGCCCAGTGCCTCAGAGACCTCCTCTGAGCCCCTTGGACAGTAATGGCACGACTTGCGCTTATATCAGACCTTCTGTCCCACTGTGTGGTGCTCTTTTCGTGCTGATCCTGGTGCAAGTTGCTGCAACGCCAGCTAGAAGGGGCCAGGGCCATAGGTAGGAGTTGTATGGGGCTGGGGGGTGTTGTAAAGCCTAGGCCCCAGTGTGAGGCCCTGCCACAAGCGGTTTGTAAATCACCAGGGGAGGTGAGAGGTACACATAGACACATGTGGCATATAGACAGGAGTCAGTGCAGGACACATGGCAAACCTCACTGTGGGGCCTAATCCCTAGCCCCTGAAACAGCTCCCGGGAATCTCAGCCCCTTTCTGAAATGGAAGTCTGAATGCAGAGGGATAAATTGCAGAACGAGACAGCTGCGGCCCCCAGGCACACAAGGGCCAGCTCCCTGGAGAGCTCATCAGTTTGAGGTGTGCACCAGTAAGGGGGTGTTGGGTGACTGTGTTTGAGATAGGATCTAACCCCAGGGCAAGGGAAGGTTCCCAGCGAGGCTCCTCTCTCTCCCCTCAGGATGAGGTGCTACTGATCCAGGAGGCCAAGAAAGAGTGCCGTGGGTCTTGGTACCTACCCGCGGGGAGAATGGAGCCTGGGGAGACCATCGTGGAGGCACTGCAGCGGGAGGTGAAGGAGGAGGCCGGGCTGCACTGTGAGCCTCTGACATTGCTGTCTGTGGAGGAGCGGGGTCCCTCCTGGATCCGCTTTGTGTTCCTCGCTCGAGCCACAGGTATGGCCCACCTGGTGGCAGTGTTTGGCAGGGGGCAGCTGACACCTTTCCCCCAGCTTGTCCTCTGGTGAGATGAGCCCCTAGTCTGTCTGGTACAAGCCTGGCATCTCCAGCCTGTGGATTTGACTCCCAGCCCCTACCAACCCCTACCAACCCCTACCAACCCCAACCCTGGTGTAGGTCAGGGCTAGAATGCCTGGGTGGCCGTTTAATCTGCCGGACCCAGCACTTCTCTCAACAGACACCCTTTCCCCCACCCCAACCTCGACATCCCCTCCAGGTGGAATTCTCAAGACTTCCAAGGAGGCGGATGCAGAGTCCCTGCAGGCTGGCTGGTACCCACGAACCTCCCTGCCCACTCCGCTGCGAGCCCAGGACATTCTGCACCTGGTAGAGCTAGCCGCCCAGTATCGCCAGCAAGCCAGGCACCCTCTTACTCTGCCCCAGGAGCTTCCCTGCAGTCTGGTCTGCCAGCGGCTCGTGGCCACCTTTACCAGCGTCCAGACGGTGTGGGTGCTGGTGGGCACGGTGGGGATGCCTCACTTACCCATCACCGCCTGCGGCCTCACTCCCGTGGAGCAGAGGGGTGGCATCAAGATGGCCGTCCTGCGGCTGCTACAGGGGTGTCTGGCCCTGCCCCACTTGGCAGTGGAGACCAAGGGGTTGCTTGGATTGCAGCATCTGGGCAAAGAGCATGCAGATGGCATCTGCCTGAATGTGCTGGTGACTGTGGCTTTTCGGAACCCAGCTATGCAGAGTGAGCCCCCAAAGGTTCGGGGTGAGAACTTTTTTTGGTGGAAGGTGATGGAGGAAGACCTACAAAGCCAGCTCTTACAGAGACTTCAGGAATCATCTGTTGTCCCAGTCAACAGATAGGAAGGTGCCATCGTTGTGCAAGGAGCCAGGCTCCTGGGCCCTCCCCTCCCCCACCACGGCTCTGCCTTCCTCTGAGGGAGGCAGGAGGTTGGCAGTCAGGGGTCTTGTTGCATTAGGAGCAGGTGATTCTCCTAGTTCTCAGGGTAATTTCCTTCTCTGTGGAACAGGTCCCCGCATTGCACCAGAAGGACAGTGCCTTTAACCAAACAAGGAGTTCAGAGCTCAAGGATCTAATTGCCCTGTGGGCACGATGAGGGCACTACTCCCTAAGGGGATGTGAGAACTTTCTGAACCTGAGAGGGCACCTACTCATCATTTTCCATGCTTGCCTCAGTAAAGGCCTACATCCAGATTCTCAGGCACTTAGAATACGGACTTGGGTTGCCGGGGGAGGTCATTCCAAGGGAGTGGGCCCCTTGCTGAGTAAATAGGTGGCACTTGCTTTGCCTTCCTGCCTAAATGTCTCTGTGGGGGGAGGAAGTGAGCAGGAAGGGGGGACTGTATCAAGAAAGAAGCTCCTCCCCTTGTCCCACCACAGCCACCCAGGTCTTCCCAGACAGCAAGCTCGTGTCCCAGACTGTGGGTGACTGGGGTGGGCAGGCTTCCTGCCGTCCACCAGAGCCTCTGTGGTCCACTGGGGCTCTCTTCCTCTTGCCTGCCAGGGCAGGATGTGTCCACATCCCCTCTGGGGTTTGAGCAGTGAGAACACCGGAAGCTTCAGGTGGGCAAGGAGCTGTAAAGTAGAAGCTGGTCCTGCCTCTCGGCGGAGTTTCATCTCCTTGAGCTTCCCTGTTCCCTCCCGGCATCGCTCTGCTGGCCTCCAGGCTCCTGCCTCTGCCTTTCTACAACTCCAGCCCAAGCCAGACCAAAACCCTTTATTCCTTTCCCCTCAGCCCAGCAGAATCATGATAAAAATCATTTTTTAAAAAAAGAACTTTACTAAAACTTAAGGGAAAACCACAGGAAGTGAACAAAGAAAATATATCGTGTGCTGCCCACTGCATGTAATACAGTTCTCTGGTTCTGAGCAAGGGAACGCTTGACTAGGCTTCCCTTCTGAGGTAACTCCACTCTGACACTGATGGCCCCCTTTCCCATCCTCTCCTGGCTGCCATCTTATCTTTCTGTCTTAGGCTGTGGTAGGAATCCTCTTGTGCCGTCTGAGGACAGACATCTCCCACATGATGGAATCGAACCCTTTCACTTTGGTTCACTTCTCTCATTATCTGAGGGACCCACCAGTCCATATCCCCGTCAAAGGGTAATCTTTGCTCCCACTTTATTTAGCCTATAGTAGTTTTTGACCCTGCCCATTAGAATCAGCTGGAGAGCTTTAAAAACAACTCTGGGCCCACCCCCAGAGACACCGATTCCACAGGTATTGTAAAAAGCAAACCCAGTGATTGTGACATGGTAAGAGGTAAGAGCCACTCATCAGCCCTGTCCGAGTTTTCAGCTTGCTCTGTCTTGGAGTTCGCTCAGCTACTTTCCTGAGAGCATCCCCACACACATACATCCAGGGACAGGTTTTTAAAATAGGTCCGCTAAAGCATTCACACAACTCACAACATAAACACCCCAAAATGAGACTTGCACACAGATGCTCCAGATGGCCCGTTCTCTCCCAGCGTCTCCCAAGGCTAGCTGGCTCTCAGCTGTAGGTAAGCTGGGCAGAAAGCGTTGCTTGGCCAAGAAGGAGCCTGGTTCCTGGCAGGGGCTGAGGAACATCAGATGTGCGCTGCTGGAGCCTGTCTCTACTTACCACCACCGTCGCCACCCCCCCTGCCCAGGACACCACCTCCCTCCACTCCAGTGCTGGAAAAGGAATGTGTCTTTCTTGGGGAGGAAGATGGGCCTCAATGAGCAGTGGAGTCCTGCGCAGGAGGACACGAAGAGTGGCGAACAGGGCCGCTGTGTCCACGCAACCAAACCATTTATTGCCGTGTTGTCTGGGGGGACGCAGTGTGAATGCTGAAGGGGATGGAGGAGGGGAGTCTCTGTGACTCCCGGACGCTCAAACGTTTTTCTGACTTGAAGAGTTCAATCTGCCCTGTGAGCTCAGCTCTCCGGTCCCACGCCAACACCCATGTGCGCACACACGCATGCATGCCCATGCACGGTGTCCTTCAGAGCAGCGGCTTGGAGGAACGCAGGAGAGGGAGAGGTCACTGAGTTCCTCCTCTTCCATGTCACCTCCTGGCAACCTGCGGCCGGCTTCTAGAAGCGGCACAGGCAGGAAAAGGAAGCGAAAGGGGCTCTGGCCCGCTCCTCCTTGCCCAGGAGCGCAGCCAGCACTGCAGTCCTGCCGTGAGGTAATGCCTGGCGCCGCCTGTGTGTTCCTGCAGGTTGAGGCAGATTCAGGCCGGGTGGGGTGGCAGCCCCGGCCGTGAAGGGCATGCAGGGAGAACAACGCTACAACCGGCTCCCTGCGCCCCAGCGCCTCCCCGCCGGGCCCTGGGGGCCTGGGGTCAGGTGGGCATCCCGGCCTCGTCTCTCCCGAGCTCCCTGGCTCCCCCGAAGAGTATTCCATCAAGAGCACTGCAGGCTGGGTGGAAAGCTGAGGGCCAGGCTCGGCCTCCCCCCGGTCTCTGAGCCCCTCTACCCAGGTGTTGAGGACCAGCCGGGATGGGTTCAGAGGTGCCAGAGAGAAAGCAGCTGGAGCCGGAGCCTGGCACCCAGCCCCCCACTTCCCAAGGCCTCTCCCGCCCCGGCTGCAGTTACACCAAGGCTCTCATTAGCAGCTGCCCCCGCCTGGGCGCGGAGCATGCTTTGGATATTTGCCAGGAGGCGGTTGGGAATTTTGCAACAGTCTCCAGGAGGGCTGGGTAGGAAGAGTGGGCTTCCCCGGCTATCCACTGCCCCTTCGCCACGGATTAAGCCAAGAAGGCAGGAGAAAAAATGTCAAGTCTCAGCAGTGTCTGTGGTACCTAGCGTTGACAGAGACGGGGCTCCTGCACCCCCGTCTCTCTGGCCTGCGGTCCTGACCAGCCTCAGAACCATCACTCACTCCCCTCTGTGCCCCTGGAACTGAGCCACAGGTCTTGGCCCTGGCCACGAATGGCCCGTCGACTCAGGTGATAGGCACAGGACACGTGAGGGTTTGGGTCTGGGTGATCACCTGGCAATTACCCAGCTCCCCCGAGAAGGCCCCGAGGACACCATGCTGTCTGGGAGGCCATCTCTTTTGCTCCTTGGAGACCCACTCCCTGAACCCAGTCTCGTGTGGCTGACAGGCCAGGATCTTCTTGAGTTAACCTGGGAGTGGAAGCCCAGGCGTCCTCAGAGGCAGAGGTGCCTGGGAGGAAGAGATGGAACCAAGCCCCCAACCTGGGAGGCAGGAGGTGGAGGCAGTGCCAGGTACGAGGCAGCTCTTGGGCAGAGGAGTGGACAGAAGTCTCCCCTCCTGTCCTGCTCCTGGCTCAGACGTGCCCTTCTCGGGGAGGGGAGAGGTGCAGGTGAGGACCATGTGGGGGGAACTTGACGAAAGCGATGGCAGCCAGCTCCTTGCAGAATTCCTCAAGAACCACCACTCCCTGGAGGAGAGTCTGGTGGTCCAGCCTGAGGGAGACAGCATGGGGTGGTCATGGCTGGGAGGCGGCGGGAGTGTGCCCAGGATGACATCCCAGTGTCCATGAGGTACATTCCAGTGGCAGACACCTCTGAGTGAAGACCGAGCTCAGCAACAGGCCCTCTTCCTCCCCAGCCTATGCCCCTCCCACTATCCTTGGGCAGTCTGCCTTCCCACCCTAGGGTCCGTGCTTGGGCACCCATTTCCCTCGGTTACTTACTGCTCCCCAGGGACCTGACCCATCAGCTGCTTGCGCACCAGGAGCAGTTTTCCCGGGAACTGGGGTACCCTCTGAATTCTCTGCATCAAGTCCCCGATCACCTAGAGCGGGAATGAGACACGGCTGAGGTGGGGGCCGGTGACACTCATGCAGGGTCCCCTAGCTCTGCTGTAGCAGTGGAGGAGGGGTGGAGCTGTCCAGAGTGCCCACTCCTGCGGCCCCCACCCCCCTCCTGATCCCCTCTCTTCCTGCCACCCCACGGGCACACACCCCTGGGCTCCGGCATCCTTACCCTGACGAGCACAGAGAACAGACTCCTGCAGCCAGGGGCCAGGTTGATGTAGGGATCCAGGAGGTACTCGTGGATAAGGGGGTGGGGGAAGAGGGCAAGCCGGGACAGGACTGAGGTCACTTGCAGGTTCAGGCTGTATGGCTGCAGGGAGCACAGTGGACAAGCCGAGGGTTGGCAGGGGGCGGTGAGCAGTTTTGCACTCCCCCAGCAAGGCGCCTGGCCAGTGTGAACATGTGTGGGGGTGGGAGTCTCACGTGATGTGTGTGTGTCACGGATTCCCTGGGGCTGAGGGCCAGAACATGTTAGGGCGTGTGGAGCAGAGGCAAGATGGGGCTTCCCGCCTGGAGAAGTGGGAGGGGTGGGGGAGGGGGATATGGAGCTGAAGAACCAAAGAGGACTCAAACCCCCCCAGGGCACCTGCCTGGAGTTCTCCCATGGGCCCTCACCCCGTAGCCAGGGCCCAGTCCTGTTGGCTACCTGTTCCAAAATCCGGGACATGCGGTCAAACAGCATTCGGAGGAAGTGACCCTCAAAGAAAGGCTGTTCGGGCTCATGGGGGTCCAGGGGTGTGGGGCCCAGGGGCCAGCCCCAAGGGGCAACTCGGGAGCTGCACTCCTGGAACTGAAACAGGAGTGAGAGTTGAGGAGGTGGGCCCAGTGGTCAGGAGGCACCCCGCAGACCGCGGGAACCACAGAGGAAGGACGGACTCGAGGCTCTTGGCTGGAGCAGGGAGCACCTTGGGCAGATCACAGAGGGAGAAGGTGGAGTTTAGCAACGCCCTGGCTTTGAGGGACAAGTGGGCATTGGCAGAGGCCTCAACACTCACCAGTCCGTAAGCATCGTGGACGTACGTGTCATATCCCGTCTCCTCTAGGAAAGCCGAGGTCTTGGCTTCCTCAGGAACCAGGCAGAGGAAACTGAGAGACAAGACCCTAGGTGTGGAGGGGCACGGTCCGGGCTGCCCTGTTCCTCCCCACTCCATCTCCAGCCCCGAGGGAACACTCCCTCCTGGGCTGTGCCTCTCTCAGGGCTATGGCCAAAGACGGAACAAACCTCAAGTGGCTTAGATTTCCAGACGGCTCCCTACCTGTTGACGATCTCAGTCACTGCTGTTTTGCCATCTGAGTTGGTGGCAGGGGCTGGGGGAGGCTTTGCTGAGGGTTGAAAGCTGGAGTTGAGGAAGCCGTCTGTGAAGTAAGGGTCTTCCTCCAGATCTCTGTGGCACCAATGAATGAATGAGCAAGTGCGGGGGTACGGGGGGCCGTGGTGGGTCCTAGCAGCCTGAGGCCTCCCAGAGGCGCAGGGTTTCACTTACAGGGTGTCCTCGTAGCTCTCGGGCTCGGGTGAGCCCCTGGCCACATAATGGCGGCCCTCCAGGTTGCACAGGACCAGGCTGCGGATGACCTGCTCGTGTGGCTTCTGGAGCAGCTCCTCGAATAGCCGCAGGGTGGTGATGCTGATCTGGTAAGAAAGGGTCAGCAGGACCCCGGCTTCTAGGGGTCCCTGGGAATTGCTCACTCAGATAAGAAAAGAGCAGGTGGCAGGTTTTGGGGGGAGTGGGTGGGTGCTGGTCTGGGAGCCGAAAGTCTGCCCGGTTCTGGTTCTGTTACCGATTTGATCTATGTTATCAAGCGAGCCAACTGGCTCTTCTGTGTCTCAGTTTCCATGGCTGAGAAACGGAATAGCGGCCTCACCTAGCTCAGAGTAGCTGTAAGCCTCAAACAAGCCAAGTGAATATGAAATACGTTTGGAAAACATAAAGTCACAAGGCAAGCATCTGATCACAGAACATCACCGTGTGACAAAAGCAGTCACTGTTTTTGGGGGGCATACGTTTCAATGCCTCAAAGGAAGCGCCAGCTGGTAAGCTAATGCAAGCAGGGAGAAGCACTCGGGGGGTCCCTTGGGCAGGGGTCGGACGACGCCCTCCCCCTTACCTCGTCAGAGAGGTGGTCGCAGTGCCCGATGAGGTGAGCGCACAGAGTACGGGGGCCATCGTCGGGGGCTGCAGGCTGTGGGTCTGTGCCCAGGAGGAAAGCCACAGCCTCTCGCAGCAGGGCAGGAGAGCGGAGCTGACGCAGCATGGCCGTGAGCAAGGCGGTGGAGGTCAGGACGCTCTGCTCAGAACTACAGGGAGAGAGCACTGAGCCAGGCCTGGGGGCTGAGAGCCAGGCGGGAGAGGGGAGAGCAGAGAGGGAGCCAGGAGTGAACGCATGTGGGGGTGACAGAACCCTTTCCTGGTTTCCTTATGCCTTCCCTGGTATTTCTCTGCTTGCTCCCTAGTCCTCCTGAGGTCCTGGAGTCAGCCCGTGTGGCTCTGAGCCACATGGCTGTCAGGGGGCCAGGCCCGGCAAACATTAACCATGGAGCCCGCAGACCCATGTGACTCTGGCCGAGGAGATCCCTGGCCTTAGGGACAGGAAGGGACCTGGTGGGGTGAGCAACTGGGCCCAACCACGGCCATGCCCAAGGGAACACGACACAGACTTACACATGCAGGAGGTGGGGCTGCAGAATCTCCACGAATAACTTCTCAGCCACAGCCTTTGCCAAGGCGTCTGCAACCACCTAGGTGCCAAAGAACATGTCTTAAGCACGTTTTACCTCCATGACAGTTTTCCATTGAGAAACAACCGTGTCCTTGCACAGCGTTTAACACAATAGGCAGCCCGGGGGCCCTGCCTAGCTCCTGAGAGACCCACTTGGTCCTCAAGGTGGACACAGGGAAGGGAGTGGGGTCAACCACGGGGCACCCCCACAGAGGGACCTGTTGGGGCCCCGGCTCACCATGTGTGCCTCTGTGATGAGGTGGTCACAGTAATCAAACCAGCCCAAAAAGGCAGCCAAGGCGTCCTTGCCAGGGAAGGAAGCTTCATCAGATGGGGCACTGGGCAACCTGAGGGGGAGCAAGGGAGGAGCTGTGAGGCCCGCCTCAGGGACGTTCCAGAATCTGGGCCCCTTCTCCCTGCAACCTCTGTTGCTGGTGCAGGGCAGGGGAGCGAGAGGGAAAGCCCTTGAGGACAGGCTGTGCCCTCAGCAAGAGGGTGGCCAGCAGGGGTCCCCATCCCTCCTAGAAAACCAGAGGACAGGGAGGGCTTCTTGCCACTGAAGCCGTAGGCCAGCTTCTCCGGGCCCAGCGCCTACCTCCAGCTGACGCCCTCTAGCGCGGCAATGTCCGCCGGGTCCAGGAAGGGGGGCACCGACTGGTAGAGCTGGCAGAGGTGCTCGACCACGGCGGCGCAACAAGGACTGCTCTGCACCAGGTAGGTGGCGGCTGCCGGCGAAGCCACGCTGACCAGGAGCAGCAGGTTCTCCTGGGCCTTCAGAGCCACCCGGCCTTTCTAGGGGATAGGGGTACGACTTCAGGGCCATACACCTGAATGCCCAGATCCCCTCCCAGCAAATTCGCCCTCCTCGTCCCCGCCCACTCTGTCTCGGCAGCTAGCACCTTGCTCTTGCACAACCCGACCAGGGAGGTGATGAGGTTGCTCTCTCCAGCCGCTCCATCCGGCTCCTCCTCTGCCTCGGCAGGCGGCTGCGCGCTCAAGGCCCGGGCCCCGCAGGGACTCATGTCAGGAGCCTTGCTGCGGGGGTGGTCCTTGTCTTGGATGTTGGCTGCCTCTCTAGGCAGGGTGGTGGGTTCTTTGGATGACTTCTTCCTCCTGACAATCTTTTTACCCTGCAAAGAAGGTCGGGTGAAGCCACGTCACGGTGCAGACCATTCCCCACGATGCCCCTTGGGAATGCAGGATGTGTTGGCTGTCAGGGCCTCGGCATGGAGCTAGAGGGGAAGCCGCCTAGGCGCCTGAGTACCTGCTCCACCCTCTGCTTCCTCAGAAGGGCCTTAGGGGCCTGCCCTGGGGTCGGAGCCCTCCCGCTCCTGTCCCTCACAGAGGTGCTCACTTCCAGGATGTAGGTGAGCAGGGCTGGGTCCTGTTGGATCTTGGAGCAGAGGACGGTGGTGAACTGTACCTCCTCCTTTTCTGTTTGGGATCCAGGAACTGTCCCACCAAGTCGGAGAAGCTTCTAGAAGGGAAGCAAATCAGAAACAGAGAAGAATGGGGTAGCAGGGAAGAGAGAGGGCTTGACCCTCAGACACCCCTTGGTCTCCTGGCCCCTCACCTGCACAGGCCTGTGGACGTTGAGGTAATGCAGGAGGGGGTGCTGCACCTGGGCCAGAACCTTGCTGAAGAACTGGAATACCTGCTGTCGCATCCCTGGGGGGTACTGAGTGTCAAGGAACAGAGTGTCCGTCAGAAGATGGAGCCTGCCCACTGCCTGGAATGCTCCCCGCCCCTGGGCCACAGCACCATCCTCCCTTGGTCACCGCTCAGAGAGCACATTTTCTGCAAGCCTCCTTCCCTCACTACAGGCATGCCTCCGAGACAGGCAGGTTTGCGTCCAGACCACCACAATAAAGCAAATACTGCAATAAGCGAATATCGTAAGAAAGCAAGTCAAATTAATTTTTTGGCTTCCCAGTGAATACAAAAGCTATGTTTATGCTATACTGTAGTCTATTAATTGTGCAATTGCGTTATGTCTAAAAAGCAATGTACATAACCTTAATTTAAAAATATTGCTAAAAAATGCCAACCATCATTTGAGCTTTCAGCGAGTTGTAATCTTGCCGGTGGAGGCTCTTGCCTCGCTGTTGGTGGCTGCTGACTGATCTGGGTGGGGGTTGCTGAAGGTGGGAACGGCTGGGGCCATTTCCTAAAATAAGACAACAGTGAAGTTGGCCACACGGATGGACTCTTGCTTTCATGAATGATTTCTCTGTATCACCGCGATGCTGTTCCATAGCATTTTACTCACAGTAGAACTTCTTGCAAAATTGGCCAGTCCTCTCCAACCTGCCGCTTCTCTATCAACTAAGTTTATGCTATGCTCTAAATCTTCTGTTACCATCTCAACAATCTTCCCAGCGTCTTCCCCAGGAGTAGATTCCATCTCAAGCAACCCCTTTCTTTGCTCATCCATGAGCAGCAACTCCTCATCTGTTAGTTTGATCATGAGATGGCGGCCATTCAGTCCCATCTTCAGGCTCCACTTCCTGTTCTAGTTCTCTCGCTCTTTCCCCCACACTTCCTCCTTTGAAGTCTTGAACCCGCCAGAGTCATCCATGAAGGTTGCGATCGAATTCTTCCAAGCTCCTGTTCATGTTGATATTTTGACCTCTTCCCATGAATCATGAATGTTCTTAGTGGCACCTAGAATGGCGAATCTTTGCCAGAAGGTTTTCAATTTGCTTTGCCCAAATCCATCAGAAGAATCACTATCTATGGCAGCCGCCTTACAAAACGTATTTCCTAAATAATAAGACTTGGAAGTCGAATGCCTCCTTGCTCCCCGGGCTGCAGCATGGCTGCCGTGTCAGCAGGAAACAGCCATCGTCTCGTTCTACTTCTCCATCAGAGCTCGTGCGTGACCAGGTGCATTGTCGGTGAGCAGTCGTGGTTTGACAAGAAGATTTTTTTCGGAGCGGTAGGTCTCCACAGTGCACTTAAAGTATTCAGGACACCACGTAGTGATCCCAAGTGCTGCCACCCAGGCTTTGTTGTTCCATTCACGGAGCACGGGCAGAGTGGCACGAACACGACCCTCCAGGGCCCTGGGACGTCCAGAATGGTCAATGAGCGCTGGCCTCGACTTCAAGTCACCAGCTGCCTCAGCCCCTGACAAGACAGTCAGCCCACCCTTGGAAGCTTTGCAGCTGGGCGCTGACGTCCCCCCGGCCGCTGAGGGTCCTAGCTGGCGTCTTCTTCCAGTAGAGGCCGTTGCATCCACATTGGAAACCTGCTGCTCTGCGTAGCCTCCTTCATCACTTACCCCGCTGGGTCTCCCGGAGAACTTGCTGCAGCATCTACCCCAGCCCTGGCCACCTCCCCTCGCACCCTGATGTTACAGAGGCGGCGTCTTCCCTTACACCTCTCGGACCCACCTCTGCCAGCTCCCGACGGTCCCCCTGCAGCTTCCTCACTGCTCTCAGCCTTCGCCCAACCGAAGCGAGTCAGCGCCTGGCTCAGGGTCAGGCTTTGGCTTAACGGAACGTCGTGGCTCGTTTGCTCTTCTAGGCCGACCCCTCAGACCTTCGGCGCGTCCGCAGTGAGGCTGTTCTGCTCTCTTATCGTTCGCGTGTTCACCGCAAGGCACTTTGAATTTCCTCCAACAACGTTTCCTTTGCATTCTCGCCCCGGCCCACTGTTTGTTGTGTGGCCTAGCTTTTGGCCCATCTCAGCTTTCCTCACCGAGCTTAATCATTTCAGCTTTTGATTTAAAGTGAGAGACGTGTGACTCTTCCTCACTTGAACACTTAGAGGCCACTGGAGGGGTATTAGTTGGCCGAATTTCAATATTGTAGTGTCTCGCGGACTAGGGAGCCCAAGGAGAGGGAGAAAGACGGGGAAGGGCTGGTCAGTGGAGCTGTCTTACAGGGGCATTACTTGTGCCCCCAATTATAATAGCAACATCAAAGATCATTGAGCACCTATCACTGTAAGGAATATCATCACTGAGTTGGAAATATTACTGAGAATTACCAAAATGTGACGCAGAGACGTGAAGTGACCAGATGCTGCTGGAAACATGGTGCCACCCGAGCTTCTCAGCGCCCCGTTGCCCCAAACCTCCGCCGTGTAAGAAATGCCGGCTTTGTGAAGCACCATCACGTGGACCGCAATCAAATGAGCTGCGCCCGTGTTTGAAACCGGCCTGCCCACACTGTTGGGTCCCCGTCCCGCTTCACCGTTCTCCATGACCTGTCATGGTTGGACAGGCTGCGTGCGGGCCCCCCAGTGACCTCTGACCAGAACTTTCGTCTGTTTTAATAGCTGCTGGGTCTGCAGCACCGAGGCCCCTGCCTGGCACACGGCCGGTTCTTAGCACACCTTCGCTGAATGAACCCTGACTGAATAACGGCAGCGTTTCCATGACACGATGGGACGGGAACACAGAGGGACGAGCCGGGGCCGCAGGGGCTCCCCGGGGTGTGCCCACCTCGGCCTTGCCCAGTGTGCACAGCGTCTCCAGGATTTTGTGCTGCAACAAGTATTCCAGACAGGGCCCGGCCTCACCAGCTGCCGTCTGCTGCCTCTCCTCGTACACCAGGATGTCCAGCATCTGCTTCAGCCGCCAGGGAATATCCGTTTTCTTGGCGGGGGTGTTTTCATCTAATGAGATTCAGGAAACAAGGGTGAGTGGGGTGATGAGGTCGAGCCCCTGGGGCCCAGGGGGTGGAGGGAGACTGAGGGTACACCTGGAGTAAGGCCCGGTTCACAGTTGGCTTCGAACGAAGACCAGAGGAAGTGGAAATTTACAGTTGGTGCCTCTATATTTAAAAAGACAAAAGACCTTTTGGATGAGGCCCAGGATACAGCCCTCTGACTGGGAACGTGTGCATACTCTAGTGCTTTATCAGAGGGAGGCGGCATCATTTTTTCTCCTAACCCCGGGGGTGTCCAGGAGGGTACACTGCTCAGGCTGCAGGTCAGCTCTGGGCCCGACTGAGAAGCCGGGGGCTCAGGGGTCTCTGTCATAGAATTTAGAAGTTGTCTTGGAGCCACTTCCGGAGAGGTAAACCTCCGGTCCCTTTTTACACTCACAGGAGGCAGAAAGGAGAAACAATTTTTTTTACAAAGGAGAAAAAAAATCCGTGCATGACCATGAGTTTGGAGGCAAACCTGCTCCATTGTGCAAAGGTCTTGATAGAGAAGCTGGGGCTTTCTTGGTGAGAGTCTCAGACAGACTGTTTGCATAAAGCAAGTTTTGGTGCTTTGGGACCAGCCTTGAAGCACCCCCTAGCTTATTTTGAAAGCACTGGCTTTTGAACAACACAGCTCAGCTCACCTCACCCATCCCTGTATCTATGGTCTAGGTACTGTTCTGGAAATTAATGGATTGGGTTCAGGTGAAGCCCCAGGTGGACCTGAAGCCAGTTCTGGATCTTTTCCTACATCCTGGCAGATTGGGGCTCTCTGTCAAGAGACCTTCAGTCTAAAAGGTACAAACTTCCAATAATAAATAAGTCCTGGGGCTCCTGGGTGGCTCAGTTGGGTAAGCATCTGCCTTTGGCTCAGGTCAGGATCCCAGGACCCTGGGATCGAGCCCCACATCGGGCTCCTTGCTCTGTGGGAAGCCTGCTTCTCCCTCTGCTGCTCCCCCTGCTTGTGTTCCCTCTCTCGCTGTGTCTCTCTCTGTCAAATAAATAAATAAAATCTTAATAAATAAGTAAGTAAGTAAGTAGGTAAGTCCTGGGGCACCTGGGTGGCTCAGTCAGTTGGGTGTCTGATTCTTGATTTCGGCTCAGGTCATGATCTTAGAGTTGTGAGAGCGAGCCCTGCATCAGGCTCTGTGCTGGGCATGGAGCCCACTTAAGATTCTCTCTCTTTCCCTCTCCCTCTGCCCCCTCCCTCTCTAAAAAACAAAAAAAAACAAAAACAAAAATAAAAACTCATAAATAAATAAGTCCTGAGAATGTTATATACAGCATAGTGATTATAGTTAGTGTATTGCATATTTGAAAATTGCTAAGAGTATCTTAAAAGTTGTCATCACAAGAAAAAAATTGGTAACTAGTTAGGGTGATGGATATTAACTAGACTTATTGTGGTGATCACTTGACAATATATCCATATATTGAATCAATATGTTGTACACCCAAGTTATATGATATAATGTTACATCAATTATTATCTCAAAAAAGGAAAAAAAGATCTTTGGTTTAAAGCTGTTGTTCTCCACTGGGGGTGATTCTGCCCCCGGGAACATTTGGCAATGTTTGAAGAGATATTTATACTTACTGCAATGGGGACGGTGGAAGCCAGAGCTGCTGCTAAACATCCCACCATGCGCCCCCAGAAGCCCGCCACCACAAAGAATGGTCAAGCCCAAATGTCAACCATGCCAAGATCGGGAAACCTGGTCTAAAAGGACACTTAGGGGGGGGTCCCTCAAAGTGTCCAAAGACTGCTTTTTAATTTTTTGGGCTGGCTCAGGCTGGAAATCAAGTCTTCAGGAAAGGGGTAGACTGGAATCAAACTCCAGTCTGAACCCGGAGGTAGAAAGCCGGGGATGCCGGACAGGGTTACCTGGCAACCAATGTGTGTCCACCAATACCAACATACTGACTACAAAGCAGCCAATCCAATTCCACCCCTTAGGGAGTGATCCTGCTGGGCCCAGATTACCCAAAGCTTTGCTGTCTGGGGTGTCAGCTGGGGGACATGGACCCAGGCACGTTATGGGCATCGGCATTTGTTGCCCTCCTACCTTAGATTTCTAAAAGGGAAATGCCCTCTCAGTTAGCTCAGGGAAAGGAGGACTTGATTCCGTTTCTTTTAATCAGTAAGCCCTGGACACAGGCCCTGAGGACCGCAGGCCTAGACACTCTGCCTCGCTGGAAGCGAGGGGCAAGTGGAGCTCAGCCTCTGCCTTGCAGTCAGCTCAGTGGCGTCCCCACTCCTACCTCACACAGTTCCTCTCCCAAAAGGTCAGGGTGGGGCCAGCCCCCACTCTCAACCCCTGTGCAGCCCTCGTCACCTTCTCCAGGCCACATGCATCTCTGCCTGGCATGGGGACGCGGCCCACACCTTCCTCCCCACTGGCTGCAGGGCTCCCACCTGTACTTTCAATGTAGTAGTGCGTGATGCCCTTCCAGTGCTCCACGAAGGCCTCCAGCAGGTCAATGCTGGGCTCCCGCTGTGGAGAGAGCAGACTTGGCATGAGGGGCCGCCACCGTCACTCATCACAACGGACGGTCCACCATCTACCAGGGCTCGGGTCAGTGCCAGGCCCTGGAGGAGGCGCCGTGATCCGGGTTCTGAAAGGGAACACGAAGGCGTTTTCTCCAGGACAATCTCTTGGCACCTCTCCCAGCCCGCCTCTCTCCTGGAGACGCTGTGCTCCTGCTATGAGTCATGACTCCACAGTCCCTGGCCCGGAAGATCTAAGAACGTTGGTCGGGGAGACAGACACAGAAACAGGTCGTCTCAACGTGGTTACGCTACCGTAGAGGGACACAGAGGAAAACAGGAGAGCGCCCCCAAAACAACAAAATCAAAATGATACGTGTGGAAAACATGGCAAAGACAAAGTTTTCGGGCCCCTCTCAGTCCGAGAGTCTGCACAAATCTGTGTTCGAGGCCACTGAAAGGCTTCATTCAGCCAGATAGGTAATGTTTGCGTAAGATTCATGAGGTGCTTTACTTATAACATGCTTGCATCTTTTGTCCAAGGCTGCAGGCTGCTGGAGGAGCTGGGGATGCACAGCCTGCAGCCCCAGGGAATTCTATTTCTGCTCCGAGCAAGCCCCAAACCTGCCCCTCTTCCAGAAGTTATCTCTTCATCTCCACACCGGTAACAACTGCTTTCCCTGAAAACTCAAAAAAAGAGCTGTCACTCTCTTTCCTTGCAGAGTAAACGTATACAGGAGAAAAATGCATAATCAAATAGTCCCTCACCACAGGTGCTCATTTCTACCTCTCCGTGTTTGCTCAGGCCACTCCTCTGCCCAGGAGGCCCTGTGTCCCCCTACACTTGCCTAGATCCGAACGGTCACCAGTGAGGTCCAGCTAAGGGCCACCAGCTCCGCAAAGGCCTCACCAGAGTTCCTGGATGCATCTCTCTAACCTCACACTTCACTGCAGCACAGAACTGAGTGTCTACTCCTGATTCGTTCCGGAAGTATCTTTTGAGTGCCCCCTCTGTACAAGACACTATGCCAGATGCTGTAAGCAGTACAAGGCTGCCGGAGACCCAGTGCCAGGGAGAACAGAATTTGAAAACCGCCCCAAATAACTCAGCTGTAGGAAGTCGTGTGAGAATGCGGGACAGGTGGAAAATGACCCATGGGAAAAGAGCACTGGAACACAGAAGGCTTTACTGAGGTTACCCTGAAACTAAAACGGGACGAATGCAGTCCCAAGTCAATAGTTAGAGATGAAGGAAAGACGGTTCCTGCGGAAGGAACTCTGCAAAGTGTCTGGGATAAGGATGGATTGAGGAGCGTGTGGGCCCCTGAACATCGAATCACCAGGTCACGACTGTTTGTGCAGGCAGTCAGGGGCAGGTCAAGGACGTCTGCTAAGCAGTGTTTTAGGCAGAGTCCGCTGACAGTTCTGTGATGATGAAGACAGGGAGAACGGTTAGAAGGCCATGAAGACAGGAGGAAGAAGCAGTAACACCGAATCAGAGGCCCTGAAACTCTCCCCCTCAACCCTTGGCTGCCCAGGCAACCTTGTCTTCTTTCACGGTTAGCTGGGGGGGGTGGGGGAGGTGGGGCATGACCCTTACTGGAGCGGTACCTCCCACAGTCATTCCAAGCACACCGTCCACATGGGGCCACTGTCTCTTACCACGTCCTGTGTGACACTGTGATTGTGGGATTAGAGTCTTCTACTAGACTGTGAGCTCCCTGAGGGCTTGGGTTCTGTGTTTTCTAGCTCTGCCTGCCCCTAAAGGGCTCTGCCACGAGTGACTACTCATTCGCATTTACTCAATATCTCAGCAAACTCCTTTAGACATCCTTTCCATAGTTCCTTGCTCAGGAAAGCCCTCCGACCCTTGACCAGCACTATAAGTCATCTTCCAGTGCTGTGATGGGCTCTCATCTAGCCTCAAAATTCATTTGTAGTCTCCTGAACCCTTAAGCTGGGCTTATGCTGAAAACGAACAATCCAGTAAGAACAGGAGACCCGGGAGAACACAGACGGCAGCAAACAGACTGTAACAAAACAGACTGTCAGGACAAAGCAAGGGGATCATCTTCACCTCAATCTACTATTAGCTACTATAACTCCAAAGAAATTGTACCAAATGATTTATTTTAAAGAGAAATTATTAAATTACTAATCTTCATTATCTTTGTTAATAATAATAAAGAATATTTTCTAAAAGAACCCTAACGATTGCTATTCTGTTTTGTCAGAAGAGGGCAGGAAGGAGCACTCTTCCTCCTTAACAAGGAGTCAAGCAACCTGCTGGGGTCTTAACCTGGTGACCCAGGGGAAGACCTATGCCCCCCCCCCATGTGGGAGTGGAGGGGAAAAGAGGGGTTTCCCTCTCTCCTGACAGTTACACGGGGCCAGCCAAACTTCCACGGCATTGTCTATGTATCTGATACTCAGGGGCCAAAAATCACCTGCCTAAAAATACCTCCCTTGACCACCAATCCCTCCTCCAGCCCCTGATGCTGAAATGCGTGCACTGGGAGGATTAGAAAGTCACTTTCAGGACTAAGGCTCTCTCTGGCCCATCTCCCACCCTGTGTATGGAGCTTTCCTGAGAGGTATGAAGTGGGTTGTCACATCACTTTCTAAGATGACAGCTGTTTCAATTGGAGACAAGGAGGAAGGGAAGGCAAGCTCATTCTGGACCCCCTCCCGAGGTGGGCTGCCCTGGACATCAGGAAGGGCAGGGCTGGGGACAGGTGAAGGAGAGGTGGGAGGAGCTTTTCACTTTCTTCACAGGTTTGATTAAGGCTGAGACTGTTCTCATTTATAATAAGCTCTGTTTTGGAGGGGGGAGAAAGGAGGAGGGACACAAGGTTGTTTCTCCTGAGCAAATCGGACAGAATATACTAAATTGATCAATTAGAGGAGACCTCTACTTTGAGACAAAAGAACTGTTAACTTTACAGATTCTTGACAAGGTTACTTTAAACAGAAGGCATTCGGCCTAGTCTATCTAAACTGCACTTTTATCTTGCTGAATGAAGTGAACTGGCCTCTGACCAGCCTTCAACCCGACAGATAATGGCAAACACACAAATTCTCCCTCATATGGCCTCCACAAGGTCCCCCCACTGCTGGCCTCTCCTGACTCAAGGTCACTCTGGCCAGGGCCGGTGTGGTGTGAGATAACATTCTGGATACCGCCCTGTGCCCCGCAGCAGGCTGTTCCCTGGGCCAGGCGCCCACCCACCCCTGGACTGTATATATACACACTTCCTGGGGACGTGGCCAATCTGGGCCGGAACTTCCCAAGTGGAGGCTGAGAGCACACGCGCCTGACTGAGGTCTTGGGGTTGCCTGGGGGCTCAGAAGGAAGGCAAGGGGCATCTATTTTTCCAGCCCAGGTGACCAGGAAGGGAGGAGCGTGGGTGGGGGGGCGGTGGAGGAAGGCAAAGGGCCTGGGGAAGGGACCTTGGGGAGGAAACTACTGGGTGACAAGGGAGCCCTCTAGCACAGACGAGTTTGGGAACTGGGAGCGAACTGAGAACGGGGAGCAGGAAAAACAAACAGGAAGCCATTTGGGGAAAAGGGTTAGGGGCTGGGGCGATCTGGAGAGGAGCTGGGAGTAGGCGCGATCGGGAAAGAGGCCACGCGAAGCAGGAAGGGCTGTGCGGGAGGGGCGCGACGGGGGAGAGGGGAGGCCCGGGAAAGGGCGCCGCGGCCTGGGTGGGGGTCCCTTCCCCGAAGCGGGCCC